GGCCCCTCGTGCCGTGCCTCGTGCCTTCAATGCCTCTTCCTTTATTTGCTACCTCCACGACATAAGTATTGTAAGTATTGTTCGGTGGCAAGAAGCCGTAGTTGCTTTTTAGATAGACTTAGTACGCAATTTTCTCGATAAGCTATGCTTAATTTACTTTCGTCAATGGTTTTTTGATATGTCCAAGAGCAAAATGCTGGATTCAAAACTCCCCCCTCCACGGCGTACCTTTCTGTAACTATAAGATCAAAAAGAATATGAACAGATGTAATTTAAAAACATACAAAACTACAGATGTAAGTAAAACACACAAAACTACATGAGTGGAAAAAACGGAGCCCCACAGCGTCCCTTTCTGAAAACCTAACCCTACGCCCGCACCCCAGGCTTGAAAGCTCCCTGATCCTTATAGATCCTAACAGCCCTAAACCGCTTGGCCCCTGTCAAATTACAGATGTTGAAGGATCCTCGTATATAAACCCGTGTTCACCGCCAAACAGACATGGAGCTACAGAGGTCACTATATAATCAGCAGCAATCGCCCCTTGCCGTCACTTTATAACCACAGCACAGCCTACCGCACAACCTATTCAATCCTGAATATCCCCCCTCAACCCTAAGCCCTAAACCCTAAACCCTAGTCGTACTCGCAACCTGCAGAACAGGCATAGCGCGTTCCCGAGGCTTTGCAAAGTGAGCACCGGTCTGATCTCACTTCCGTACAGAGGGAATGCCTGGGGTTGCTTGCCGTTGTGTAGTTAAGGATGCTTCATCAGCTTCAAGGGTTTTTGTTGAAGGTTCAGGGTCTAGGGTGTAGGGCTTCAAGGGTTTCGGGTTGTGTTCCTTGCTTATGGCTTGTAAGGTTCGGGGCTAAGGTTCGGAGTCTGAGCTTCTGTGTGTATAAACCGTATATATATATATATATTATATATATATATATATGGAAGGGAGCTACAGGCTGCTGAAGTCAAGGATTTTGTCTTACAAGAGTGCATGCCCGGGTTGTTCTTCAAGTTGTGTATGGTGGGAGGCTCCTGTCCTTCCTCAGGGCTATTGTATTTAGGGTTGTAGTGTTCAGGGTTTTATGGGATTGCTGAATCAAACAAGCCCTTGGTTATAGAATACAGAAGCTTACACAAGGGAATGCCTGGGTGGTTCTTCAGACAGTTTGGGCGTATGGGCTCATGCAGGGTATCGACTCTCACAGCTTGGTGGAAAGCTTGGGGCCTTAGAATTCGGATTCCTGAGTCATGTAAGTAGCTTCATAAGTCCATAAGAAGAACTGAAACATGTTCGAAATTGCCACCTAGATGCCCTTTCGGACAGCGTGGAGCTTTGGGAGCCGCTGCGTAACCCGAATCTTCATCATCCACGAGGCTTCCGATGCCGGCGCTGATGTTGCCGAGGCCTTGTCCTGCCTTGTTAAGCAGGCCACCAACGGTGTTGCTTGTCCAGCCGATTCCTTGAGATACTGCGGAACCCTCCTGAAGGGTGACATTCCGCTTGAGGCTGTCGAAGACTTCACCTTACTTGTCCAGTCTCCTAGGGGGAATGAAGCTCAACCTGTGGGATTATCTAGGGATTGCGGAACCCCAAGCCCTGTCAGCACGGACTGAGGTGCCGGCCAGCGCCCATGCAACAAACCCTAAATCTCAAACCCCAAACCCCACAAAAAAAACTAAAGGTTGCCTACTCCACTACGAAGTCGCCGTCATTGACCGTCTGAGAGAAGCGGCCCCACACGCCACTGGCCGCTTGGCCCACGGAGCCCACCGTTCCCTTGAAGGTCTCCTGTAGGTTCCATAATACACATATAAATAGACATTATATATTATTTTATGTATTATATAATATGTTATTCACAATCAAGGTAATATCATTGTTACTGTAATGATAATAATAAGAAAAAGAAGGTAAACCATCATAATACACTTGCAGTATGCCACAATGTACTATACGATATTATAACACCCTACAACTATAATGTACAAAGAGTTCATATACTACCCCTAAACTGCATATTACCATCATATGTAATAACATATGAATATGGGTAGTGTTCTAAGTTAGGGTCTGTCTTTAAGTCCCCAAAATACTACGACAGCCTCATAAAGAGGACTCTATGACAAAAGGGACCCTAATTTAGGGAACTGCACATATGAAGTCCTGCAGGTTCTCGTTTTCCACGACGGACTTCCGCACGAAGCCGACCGCCCCGCCCAATAGGCCGCCAACCGCCCCCACGGCCCCCGAGGCCATGTTCGTCAAACCATCCAAACCCATGTTGTCAGCACCTGGTCTTGGGGTTTATAAGGGTTTAGGGTTACAAGAAAAGGAGAAGCCCGCATTTAGTGCGCAAGGGCAGACCTTCTAAAACAGCATCACGCGATCAACTTTCTCGCGCAACGGATCCGCTTCTGACTTATACAAAACGCAAGCTACCTTTCGGGGGTTCCTGGCATTCCCAACCAACCCTAAACCCTAAACCCTAAACCCTAAACCCTCAATACTCCAACGTTTTTGTGGGTGCCTGGCTGTGGCTGAGAGCCCACACTGCTAAGGCTGCCGTTCCCGAACTTCTGGCGCAAGCGCTCGCGGGCTGCCTCTCTCAGTCGAGCCTGGTGGAAGGGTTTAGGGATTAGTGTTTGAAGTTGGGGTTTCCGTCTGTCTCCGAGAGTTCAGGGTTTTGTGTTATTTTGTGTTGTGTTTAGACTACTAGCAACTTGTCCGAGATGTCCTGCAATTCCACGGAACTCTATAAAACTACAACCCTAAAACCTCTGCCAGGAGCCTGTCTTTCGTTGTACTGCTCCGTCGTCTCTCCCGGCAGTGGCTCCGCCCCCTGCGCCTCGGAGACGCCGGTGGCTGGATCGAAACGCCCCGGGTCCGGCGGGGGCTCCGTTTTGCCCTCAAGAAGTCGACTGAGACGCTCCTTGCAGTAGGCTTTAGGTCAGGGTTTAGGGCTTTAGGGTTTAGGGTTTTGGGTTGAGGTCCCCAGTAGCCCCTCAATATCAAGGGTGCCCTTCGTCTTACTATTTGGTCTTTTAATATAAGGGAGCCCAATAAGAAACAGGGACAAAGGGGCAAAAGGGTACTACCGGGGGAACCCAGTCCTTGTAGTAGGCCGCCTGCTTTGTGTTGTACTTCACGGGAATCTTCAAGCTCTTGGTGATGCCCCGGGCCTCGCAAAGGTCGATGAACCTACATCTTAAACCCTGAAACCTGAACCCTACACCCTGAACCCTAAAACCTAAACCCTAAAACCTAAACCCTAAACCCTAAAACCCAAACACTAAATCCCAAACCCCTAAACCCTAAACCGTCGGTGATGCCCCGGGCCTCGCAAAAGTCAATGAACTTCTGATTTCCACCAGACTTCTCCATGGCGGCGATCTGCTTCTCTGTCCAGGAATCCATCCTTACTTCCCCAACAAGCCAGGGAAATAAAAGGTTAAACTTTCAGACTACTACTAAACTTAACTAAACCCTAAACCCTAAACCCTAAACCCTGGGTATTGGAGAACT